TTTCGAGTCGCATTCGCAAAACTCGAACACCGCTCATGAATCCTGGGAAGTAGTGCTTCCATTTCTCATGTCGACTGGAAATCACTGTCCCGTACTTTGCCATGTGGTTCATAACAGTGGCTTGTGGCCATGCCAGAGGAAGATCATGCACTCGAACGGTCACTGCTTCACAATCCACATATACCGGGATTTTGAACTCACTCTTCGCACAGAGAATCGCGTGTTTATAGTTGTGCGCCTTTTCATAGCGCAAGGCAACTTCATTGTCTATCATCTCAATAAAAACACAATTTCGGACGTTATGAAACTGAATGCATCTAACGTCCGAATATTGAAGCTTAATATTGTTCTCGAAGAATTTTTGCACTTTTCCCGCATTGGGACGAACTGGAAGGACACTGAAGTCAACAACAAGTGTGTTTTTACGAACTACACTCATTTTCGCTACAATATTTCACCAAGTTAAGCAGAGCAGAAAGAGAACACGTCCGATGAATACGAGTAATGGCTGTCGAATGACAATTGCATTCTGCACAAGAAAACTTTCGACGAAGCGCATCAGGGGAGAAATGAAAGTCGAAAACATATGCAACTTTGTTGAATGTTCTCTGCAGCCCGCAAATCGCACCGTGTGCTCCATAATTTGTGCGACGTAGAGGCTGTCTTAGCATAAGGTTATTACGAAGCGGTCGAGGTTGAACATTCAGGTCAATTTGCCTCAGGATAGCCTCGCAATCTGTCCTTCCTTGCAGTATATCGGCCACGGTTAGGGCTCTGCTTGTGTCTCTTCTAGTCCCGAGAAGTGCTAGGTCGATAAGTTGACAACGGCTTTCGTAACTGGGTAATCGAAACGGATCATTCCAAGGCAATCTACGCAACGCAAAACGAAGAAAGTGACGTTGAACAGATTCAATTCTCACGGCACCATTGTTATAGTTTGGGTTCCAAAACGCTGAACAATACTCAAGCGTCGATCGAACAAGCGAACAATAGAGAGATTTTAGACAGTAGATATCAGTGAAGTTTTTAGCTATCCTAAAAATGAACCCTAAAGTTCTTGATGCCTTATCAACAACATATGCAATGTGTTGCTTGAATGAAAGCTGCGAATCGAAGATCAAACCCAAGTCTTTCACCTGATTCACGCGTTCGATTGTCGAGCCAAGTAGGTCATAGCTAAATATTATCGGTTGTTGTTTTCGTGAGAACGTAATAGCGGAGCATTTGACTGGATTCACTACCATTCTGTTTAACCTGCACCAACTAGCAAATACATTCAGTTGACGTTGAAGAAAGTGACAGTCAGCAATGGAGCAGATTCGTAGCAAGATTTTGAGGTCATCTGCATATAATAACGGAGGAGCTTCGATGACCGATGCACGTCGTTGAAGTATAGTATAAAAATTAACGGTCCCATGTGGCTTCCCTGAGGTATACCTGATGTGGCGAAGAAGCTAGCTGATCTGCAATCTCCTATGGCAACCTTTAGTTGCCGATCGGTAAGATATGATCGAAACCAACTCAAAAGATTACCGCATACATCGAGCCTGCCGAGTTTAGCAATCGCAATAGCATGGTTCAACTTGTCGAATGCTGCGGATAGGTTTGAATAAATAACGTCCGTTTGAACCCGATCCGACATGCTTTCGGTTATATACGATGTGAGACACAGCAGATTGGTGGTTGTAGAGCGGCCCACAGTAAACCCATGTTGATCAGCACTCAAATACTGCTTGCAATGGGACAGCAACGGTTCCACAATCACTAGATCGAATAGCTTCAAAATGGTACTTAACGATTAGTTATCCACAGCTCGTTTCCTTCCTTTTTTGACATGTGCGCAAATTTCCAGCAAGATTGAAATATGCCACTGGAGAGAGACATTCAGAACAGGCGAAGAAGCAGAATTAACAAGCTTGCAATATGTCTCTTCAAAAATACAGATGGAACTCCATCAGGTCCAGGATTGAAGGATGACTTGAGTCGCGGCCTTGGAAATCATCTCAGCATTAACATCAATTGCACCCAGCGTTTGATCATTTACTGGATCGTTCCTAGCTGCCAGGGTAATATGGTGGTCAGTTAGTATCTCATTAGTGAATACACTGGCAAACTTTTCGGAAAAAAAGGTGGCATATATCCTGAACAGTGGCAGCAACTTCTCCGTTGAATTCCATAGACGATGGGAGCCCGGATTCCCTGCGTTGCTCGTTCACGTAGTTCCTAAAGGATTTCGGGTGTAGCTTAAGTTTGCGCTGGATGCCTCGTTGGAAACTTGAAAAGCATTCACGACTGACTCGCTGGTACATGTGGTTCAGCCTCACATAATGTAGTTTCAGAGGAAGCGTGCGATACTTCGTAAATCTTCTCAATGCTGTTCTCTTGATTGACTTCAACCTACGTAGCTCTCTCGTCTGCCAGGGAGGGTGAGACACTCTGTGGTGAGTTCTTTTCAGGACGTGTCTGTCAATGACATATGCCAAGACATGTGAAAAGCTTTGCGCTGCAGCCTCAACGTCATCTGGATCAAGGATGTTCTCCCATACCATGCTAGACAATACATCTTTTAAGTCATAAGAAACCGTAGCAGGATAGTCGTCGAAATCACGATCGAGATTGTCATCAACAGTGACAATTAGAGGAGGGTGATGTGGAACTAGCTTAGCTAGTGCACAAGGAGCCGAGGAAATTAATGGAGCCCTGTCCTGTGTGCTCACGAAGCAGAGGTCCAAACTACGATCATTTTCGTTAACTACATGGTTAATTTGAGAAAGCGTCGCTGCACTGTAGTTGTAGAGAAGGCTAATAGCTCCTGCGTGAAATGTAGAGCTATCAGGATCTGGGTACAGGAATCCGCTATGAGATGGACTCCACGAAACGCCTGGCAGACTGAAGTCATCAAAAATGTATATCTCATCAACTGGATTGGCACTTTCGATAACTGTGAAAACTGACCAACGGTGAGTTCATTGTCGAGGACTCGATCAGGTGGAATGTACAGAGCGCATAGAAATAGTGTGCGATCACCCAGATTGATGGCTGTCCAAACCTGCTCCACATAGTTCCATGAATCGTTCTCGATGGCCTTTGCCTCCAACCCGCCACGGACAGCTACAAGGACACCTCCACCAGTAGATTTACGGCTGTTGTTAGGATTCCGATCGCAACGAAAGACCTCGTAGTCAGGACGGAAGACTTGACTGGAAAGCGTTCGATAATCGAGCCACGTTTCGCACAGGACAATTATATCGTAGCAACAATCCGATACAGCTAGGCGGTACTTTTCAACATCAGAATTAATTCCACCGACGTTTTGGTAGAAGATCACGACGTCCTGCTTGCGGCAAGGAATCGAACGACTGCTCTCCCTGGAAATCACAGATACATCAGGTAATAACTAACCATCATCAAGTCTCATTGGATACTCGCCATAGTGAGTGGGTTGGAAGACCCCCTCTCCACATCCGACATCAGGTCCGGAACGACTATGATGAACGAAGGCTGCTGATGGCAGGACTGAGACGGAGGGATTGGGGGCTTCCATGGGGCTTTCTACGGCGCGTTCCGGGTTTCCAGGATTGGGAGTTACAGAGGCATAATCACAATGACTAACATAGTCAGAATTGCTGAAAATTTGATCGGCATCAGGCAGTGAACAGTCAATATATTGATTGTACTTGCTTGTAGAGGCAAGGTGGAAGACTCCTGATTCATATCCAGCCACATGTCCAGGACGACTATGCTGAACGCTGGCAGGAATCGGCACGAAGGGCTGGAGGAACCATGAGCTTCCAAAGAGCGGTCTATTGTGCGTCCCGGAGATGAATTAGGATTGTTCGAACAGTAAAGCGGATGTTGTGAATGAGCAGTATCAGAAGTGCTTCTCAACTGGAAATAGCCGGCAGATGCTTGAGGCGTTGCAATGGAACACGGAAGCTGATCAGGAAAATTACTGTAACTAATGTATGCAAACTTGCCTGAAAACGATGGTTGGGAGACCCTACCACCGAACTCGACCGCAGTTCCAGAACGACTTTGATGGCGGGAAACAGCTAGTGCGACTGGATCGAGTGGTTCGAGGTTTAAATGATTAATGATTGCCCCGTCACCTTTTCGTGTTATGGGATGTAAGATTTACAATCGATTCCTAGTACTGACTACTTCGAACTATGGGAACAGGATTTTTCAGTAATGAAACATCTTAGTCCTTGTTACTTTTTATGCCTTCCCTAATAAACAAGTACCATAAACGAACTGTATTCCGGATGGTTTGGATGATACTCCGAACACGTTGTTAAGCTCTCTTTTATGGTTTTTTTTATTAGGGTTGTTGAATCGGCTTTGTTCACCGAGGATGATCTTGAAAGAAGGAAAAAATGAGTTAGTTAGTCCGTATTCGTTTTTCCCTAGGTTGCAGTGGTTAACACTAGGGTTCTGAAGTAAGGTCATTGTCGGTATCATTGTTTAATGTTGTTGCAAAGGAATCAAATTTTGACGATAAAGGGGCGTTTGGAGAATGCTCTCACTCTTCGATGGGTATAAATAGCGGAACCTTTCAATTATAACCGATTCCTTGCGATGAAGGCAAGAATGACAACTGTTTCAAAACCGAATAATACTACTTCATCATTTCTCAATAGTGATAAGTAAGAGTAAGGATTAATAAGACATGGACTAAACTAGACACGGGATATGCTACAATAGATCAACATTACTGGTCGCAGTGGTTTTATGTCCCGTACAGAGTAAATGAAATGATGAATTGAAACCAAGAAAAGCATGACCTTTTGCTTTCAGAAGATCGCACTTTACGATGCGCGTAATAGAAAACACAGACAGATCAATGCGAAGAGTAAAGCCATTTGTTTGGACAGTAAGCTTCCCCTTAAACGCTTATACACGTTTTTTAAAGTAAGCGTAAATCAAACGTCCAGTCCTCTATTGAGTAAAAGGAAATCTTTATCTTTCTATTCCTAACATGATATATCTCTTTCCTACAGAACTAGTCCCGTAACAGTGCCAAGCGCAAACAGGCTAAGACAACGCCAGGAGTCTTCGTCGTCGCTTTCGGTTGGAAGCTGGCAGATGGTCACCGGTACCGGAAGCTATCGTAGCGCCGAGTCAGTTAACGAAATGCATTCCCATCTGCAGCAGAATCCCGGATATAACTGCCCTAACCCTCAACATCATCACCATCAGCATCAACACCAGCAGCAGCAGCATCAGACCTGCACCAGCAACCAAACGCCCAGTAATAATGCGTCACCGTTCTACCCGCAGCAGCAGGGTGGCATCAATCCAGGGCCATCGAACAGCGCTTCCACCACACCAAATGCCAACCAACATCATCCCAGTCAGGAGTCAAGTTGCTGTACGGTCATCGACGGCGAGTACTACCCGAGCCATCTCGACCTATACGCCATGTGAGTCGTACGGATTCCTACTTTGCGACCTAGCCAAACTCTTCCGTCTCATTCTATTCCAACACCTGCCTGTTTGCTAATTTCATTTCTATCGCTCTTTCACAGACGACGCGAACGCCTCACACAGCTGCGGACGCTGTTCTACAACTGTTACTTCTCAACGATTGCATTCAAGTTCAACTCCGGTCCGGATTCCGCCCTCGGCAGTTTGCTGGGGAACTTTGCCGAAAAGGTTGGCCTAGCGAGTCGAACTTCCGTCTAGACTTCAGACAGCGTAGATATTTTGGGCCGCGTGTGTCTTCCGTTTTAACGATAGTTACGAAAAAAAAGAAGTCTCTCTCTCTATCTCTGTTCTGATCGAAAATGAAACCAATGAGGAGCCTCCGATAACCCGAAGGAATGCTTTTGTATAAGGCAAACTTTGTCGACAGTGGGAATAAATAACGAAACACACCGAAGTGATGTTCATTTCAGATATTCGATGTAACTATTACATGCTATAATAACCGCGCGATTATTGAAGAGGAAGTAGTGTAGGGTTCTATTATGCGATGATTTAGAAAGATTGATCGGATTATAGAGAAGAAAAAAAAAGAAGATTTAATTGCGAAAGAGGGAGTCGCTTTTTGACTATTTCATCTATAAGTTATTATCGTTGTTGATACTGTATTACATTTTGTGGATAATTTGCCTTGTTTAGTAGAAGAAAACAAACGTGCTAGAAGATTTTATATTTACTATTTTTTTTTTACTTTCTCATTTTAACTCGCAAACATTTACCGCATAAAAAAAAAAACCAAGAAACAATAAATCACTAATTTCCAATAATAGACGGTCATCCTCGTGTAAACTACACTTATCAGGAAAAAATATATTGTGAACAATAAACAGATACATTTTGCATTTAAAACATGGCTACGTATTCTGTTATAAATTTAGCATCTTATTTAACCTCGGAAAAGCTCAAAGATTGGCCCCCATCAGGTTAACCACTCGGTTTTTGTAGCGCTTGGAAATGTCCTTCTCTATCTGACCTTGCAGGATCTTGGTCTGTTCGATTATCTTGGTCAACGTGGGCTTTAGATCAACGCTCTGCTGACGGAAGCTGATCGATTTATTTTTCATTAGCTTTTCCGTATCTTTCATTTTGTCTATAGCTACCAGTTTTTGCTTCAACTTAGAGGTAAGAATATCCACGTACTTTGACGAATGTTTAATCTGATGTAAATGCTGAATAAGCGGGCTGTTAGTTTTGCCATAGATGACATCAACTTGTACCAGCATCTGCGATAGGCTCTTGGTATCATGATCTGGGAAATTGTCCATCATCGTTAGTGATAGGATCTGAACCTTATCAGCAGTACTCAACTCATACAGTCTCATCTTAAGGAATGCCTCCAACTCCAACAGCTCGTTAATCAATTTTTCCCTATAAACAGGTGAATCGAAAATACTATACGACTCGTCACCCTTCGCCACACCCCCAGCATTTCCATCACCTTCAACGACTATTCCGCTCTCTTCCAGGGAAATATTGAAATCGATCTCATTCGCATTCGCCGCTGCCTCCTCCGGAGCTCCCCAATCAATATCACCCACCTCCAGATTGACATCTCCTCCGTCCACCGCACCGAAGTCAATTCCGCCATTGCCAAAATCAATAGCACCGCCGTCATCACCGAAATCTATCTCTCCCGGTGCAGCTTCTTCTTCCAATTCAAACTTGACCGGTGGTTCCTCGATCGACAGCGGTGATTCCGAGTACAAGAACTCGTACACCGTCGTATTACCAGACGTCGCAACATGTCGCAACACTGGTAAGCATCCTTCATTTCCCATAAAGGCACTGTAGAGTTCTATCGCCTTCTTGAGCGCCGAAACCGTGCCGGCAATTTCATTCAACATCTTCGGAAGCTCACCCACCTTTGTCACCAGCTCCTGCCGTACGTTCTCCCCAGCGATACCCAACTGTTTACACAGACTATGGTACTCCCCCAGAACAACATTCTCCGATCGCTTGAGGTCTTCAATTTTTTTCTCCGCTTCATCACCCAGCTGCTCAAAGTTTTTAATTTGCTTTCGAATCCCAGGCACTTCGTAGTTTATGTTCCGAACCAAGATCTGGGCTGCTTCTGCCAAATATAAACTATCCTTCTCGTACAGCTTCAGAATCTCCTGCCAGTCCTTCATCCGCTGGCTTCCGTATCGTCCGAACACATTCTTGGTATCGGCTTCCGTCGTCTTAAGAATGTCAATGATCTGCTGACAGTGAAAGTAGTTGATATCTAAAAACGCAAATCACACATCAATTCAATTGCCATATCATAACTAACCATCTCGGTTTCGGATACATACGAGCTCCCTTCAACAGCTGCACCAGCCCGTCGTGAGCTGGCATATCGGTCAGGGCATTGCTGATTTTGCTGCGAACTTCGCGAACATGCATATGCCAATTTTTGTTCACGATTCGTCTCGATACGAGCCAGTCCTGAAGTTTGCCAGCGTGGATATCGATCGGGATGTCCGCTTCCTGTAATGGGCAACGGTAGTCATTAGAGAATTTTCGTAGACGGGTAGATAATCTGTGTACTTACGTTCATTGTATCGGAAGAGAATTAAATTTCAGCTCGTACGAAGTAAAAGGTGAAACCAAAATAAATAACCATCCACGTATCCTTTTAGTAAAAGTCGTCTGCCAAAAGCTGATTCAATCGAACTGTCAAAATGTACTGCACGGACGAGGAGAGTACCTCAAAATTGAGTTGTATTTTACACAGAAAAAAAAGGTTGTTGAATTTTACATCCAAACAGCTTACCACAGACAAACAGACATAACACTGGCAATTTGTTCATCGAACACGCATTTAACGGTCAATTTAAATGTTTTTAGTTGGTAATACCGCCACCTGTGGCGCGCATAGTCAATAACCCTTGTGTTTGACGTTTACACACTACCGCCATCTGTTCAGCGTACTACCCATCACAGTATACTCAACAGATGGCGGTAGTGTTTTAGCAACGATGTTTTAAATTGAAAAGTATTCAATGTGTTATGTCTGTTTGTCTGTGAGCTTACTGTCGTTCTGATATCATGGAAAAGTTCAAAAAATTTCGTAGAAGTGGGAACCCGTAAAAAAATCCAATAAAAATACAATGATTTTCATTGTCATTGTAACCATGATATTTGCTGTCAAAACCAGGCTTCCAAATAGTACAGCCTTCTCGCGACAGTTGGTTTATACCTGAATTGACTGTTGCTTTGTGTGCTTTACTGCCGCTTGCTACCGTACGTTCAGATCTGAATTCGAAGTGTATTGGCAACAGCGCACGCACGAACGAATGAAAGCTGTATTAGAAAAGTCGCATCTATACCCGCTTTGCTAAAATCATCGTGCTTGGAACGTAGTGAACCGAATGGGCTGTATTTATACATTTCTTTATGACCAGGTTCTCAATGTTTCTGTCGTCATAACAGCCTTCACAAACCGACGACATCCCTCAGCTTACCCAAGTGGCTGTCACGAGACATTATATACAACTGATATACGGCAGTGGAGTATGGAAGAAACTCAGAAGAATGATCCCGAACAGATATGTCGGCTCGATGTCGGATCAATGTAAGGTCAATTTATGGTCGACGTCGGCCAAATGTCGGGTCGATGTCGGGTCAATTGTGTGTTTATGTCGGGTCAATGTCGGGTCAACATCGGGTTGGGGTTTGGTAGAAGTCAGGTTGGTGTCGGGTAGGCTTATATTTTTCGCCGGAGACCGCGCGTTTTTAAAAAAATATCGGATGAAAATTTTGCAATGGGCAGCACGAACGTGATAGCAACCGAACGAGCTCCGGAGACAGCAGCAACGAATCGGCAGTTCGACGGACTGCTTGTTGTATGTACGAGGAACGTTACGAATGACCATCCGAGGCTGTCATAGCCGAACGAACAAAATACATGACTAAGAACGAGCTGTCGTGTACTGCACAAGACGGCAACGTTGCATGTCGTATAACAGCCTCACTGTGGGCTGTCGCTTATAGCTCAATCTCAAGGCTGTCGTAGGGAAAAGAAAGCGACAGCCGTTGGTATACTGTCATGAGGCAGTACTTTTGGTATGCCTGGTCAAAACATTGGACATTTTTTTATTACCATAAAATCACAACGAAATTCATGGTTCACAACAATGAAAATCATGGTATTTGAGAAATTTACAATAAAAAAGGGTTGTTAAGCATCTTCTTAATAATATAAAAAAGTGATTTTTCCCGAACAAATTTGATCTCATCACACTAATTTTCGTTGTTTGAGCATTGTATCGTTAAAAATCGAAATTTATTTTTTCTCCCGCACAATAATTTAACAATAAATTTTAATGTACTCATACCAAGGGGTAAGTCACTCAGCACATTGTGCCGGAATTATATTCTACACAGCTTGGGCACATCCATCGGCACATTTTCGGTATACCTTCAGCACAATCTCGTAGGCATTAAATTGTTGCAAATAAAATGGGAGCACTGCTGGACAACTGTCATTGAAGTTGTTCAGAACATTACGTGTTATTTGACTGTATGTTCAGGAACATCTTCTAATTGAATATACCAGAGGAACTCAGACCAGCAGTTCACTTATAGATCTAAATACGAAATGTAGGTTCTAGAGTGGACTGAAAAGGAAGAGACAGTTAATCAGACCTCATTAATACCCTTAATTCAAATAATGCTGCAACTCACACAAAACAAACTAAAGAAGTCTATTCATTACCCTCTATAGTCGGTCTCCAACAATGCTCCCTACCGGTTCCAACTCTTTCCAGCCGAAAGGCTAGGTTTCCGGTCCGCCTTTGAGGGCATTATAAAACACTAAAACACAGGACTTTTATTACCCTATGGATCACAAAACACCGAAATTTCGCACAATCGCCACTTCCCGCGTCATCCTCAATCCGATTTATCCTTGCGATTTCAAACCAAAACATTCAAGGTGTCAGAAATACCGGATTGCTGGGATGGATATTTTACAAATATTCGCAGCTTGCTCTATGACCGGCACAATCAGCATACTTGCGGCACACTGACAAAAAAGATGACCCAAAATTGGTGTGCGGAGTGACCTACCCCTTGACTCATACAGTAAAAAACATTGCAATTTCGTTGTTTTATTATAATTATTTTTTTCTGGTGGAAACCTCTTTATTGTTCAGGAACCTGAATTTTGAAATCATTAGATGTTAAAATAAGGTACACAGCAAAAAAAAATGTAATATCGATCAATGTAATTTAATTTGATGTATGAGAATTCCGCACAAATTCAGGAAATTTCGTGCGTCGAACTTTGCAGAAATTAACGAGAAACGTAGACGTGCAGCAAACTTTGATGAAGTTTTGTGGACTGCGTAAATACTTCATAGAAGTACAGGGCATTTTGAAAAAGTTTGGGGAATTTCGTAGAGATAGAAGACTTCAGAGATCTTCATTTCAGTTTAGGGAACTTCATAGCAGTTTGTCAGATATCTTAAAAAGCTCTATGAACTTCCTGAAGATGAAGATTTCGGACCATCGTTCTATTTCAAGGAACTTTGAAATTTGAGTAAATTTTCTAAAACTTAAGTTAATTTTGTAAATGTTCAGGAAACGTTGCACAGCGTATTCTTTCAGATGTGCTCCCTAGACAGCCAGGAAATATAAACAAACAGTAAGATCAAATAATTCACTCCACAGAACGGATCTAGTAATGGGAAGTGAATGATTTGATCTTACCGTTTGCAGCATCCGGGCCCCGAGAACAGCAGCCATCAGCTCGAGACGAGGAACCGATTGTAGTTTTAGTGGAGCTACCTTTGAGCGTGACATCACCAGCGAACACCTCACGTTTTCGTTGATTACTGCTCTGAAGTAGGCTGCACAACCGTACGCGTGAATGCTTGCATCGGTGAAGACATGCAGCTCTAGAGAGTTGATCGACGATGAGCGGGTGTCTTTGAAGTAGCAGCGAGGTATGTGTAGGTCTTCCACCATCGGTAACTGACGCGCCCAGTGTTCCCACATCTCAAGGCTCTTGTCGTCCCATTCGCACCCCGTGCGCCACAGATCTTGCACCACAATTTTTCCGTGAGTCGTAAATGGTGTGAGCAAACCTAATGGGTCGAAGAATCCCATCACGCAGCTCAGAACTATCCTCTTCGTAGGACGCTCACCTTCCAGCAAGTACGGTCTCACGTCTTGCCGATGCTCCTTCGAAAACGAAAACTCGTCCTGTTTTGGATCCCAGATGATTCCAAGCACTCGCTCCGTTCCACTTTCTTTGTCCCGGTTGAAATGCACCGACTGCTCTTTTTTGATTTCTCCCAGTTCCTCAAGAAACGCTTCGGAGTTCGATACCCAGTTCCTGATCTCGAAACCTCCTTTCGAGTGAACATATCTAACCTCTTTCGCTCTTTTGACTACCTCTTGGATTGTATCGACGCTGTCGAAGTAGTCGTCGACGTAGTGCTTCTCTATTATCGCCACTGCTGCTTCTGGAAACTCCGTGGAAAACTCGATGGCATTTTTGTTTTTCACATACTGCGCTTGACATGGTGAACATTTTGACCCAAACGTTGCGACGTCCATTATGTACACGTTTGGAGAATCGCTTGATGAGTTTCTGAACACGAACATTTGCACCTTCTTATCTGCTGCCCGAATCAGTAGTTGGTGATACATCTCCCGGATATCTCCGCCGAATCCGATTGGTCGTTCTCGAAAACGATTGAGAACAACCGGTATCGGAGTGAGCATGTCCGGACCAGTGAGCTCCTGGGAATTCAAGGAGACACCATTCACTGTTGCCGCTGCATCCCACACCAGTCGTACTTTTCCAGGCTTCTTAGGGTTCAACACTACGTTGATGGGAAGGAACCATGACTCCTGCGGATCGAATTCAGCCAATTCTTCCGGTGTCGCTAGATGTGCGTAGACCTTTTGCTGGTACTCCACGATCTACTTTCGCACATTCTCGTACAGCTCCGGTGTCTTCTCCAATCGTATCTCCAGCTGTTTTAATCTGCGGAAACTTCGGTTTATCAGATTTCCACAGCATTCCGGTTTCGAAACGGTCACCAACACGAACGGTAGTTCGCTCTAAAATCTCCCGAGCTCGTTTCTCCTCCTTTGACTCCTGCGATACAGCTACCACCGATTCCTCCAGTGAGTAATGCTCCTTCAGCATGTGGTGCAGATCTTCTTTGGTGATTTCGTGATGATACCCAATGACGTTCTGCTCACGTTTGGCTTGTCCTCCAATTGGACCGTAGACTGACCATCCAAGTTTGGACCGTACAGCGATTGGCTCCCCTTGCTCTCCAAGTTTAGCTTCCATTGGTGCGATGGCGTGAAGATTGTTCAATCCGATGAGCATACCGGGTCTTTGCCTTGGATACGACGACATCGGTAGATCACGGAGAAAATGGTATGCAGTAGAAATTTCGGCACCGTCCAGTGATTGACTAGGCAGAAGAAGTTGTTCTACGGTCTGTACGCAGCTTTTCCCCGTTTCCGGAAGTGGATATCCACAGGTTCATCTTCGTTGACTCTTTTTCCGCTCGAGTGACATCAACGGTCCATTTGATCGTGAGCGGATGGAGAACTCCTTTTGCCCCTAGACGGTCGGTCAACGAT